TGAAGACACACCACTGCTGTTATGCCACGATCCGAATTCTGAGTTCTGATACGATTCTAATATAGTGTGCTGCACTGGTGTCTCTGGATAAGCAAATTGAGGTGAAAATTTGCGCAAAAAAATGACTGGGAAATCCTGAGAAGTGGAGGTTTTAAGTTAAAGGATTTTTAAAACTATTTAAATTTGGTTTTTATAATGACGATGAAAGTAATTGACCAACGCACACGCACTTTTATCATAGCTTAAAAATAAAAAAAAATGAATAGTAATCTTTGGAGATATTCCAATCTATTCAAAGTAAAGTGGGGTTACTTCTGAGAGATGAAAAAAAAGTCTACGAAAAATGAAAAAACAAATTACTATATAGTTATTTTGTTGCTAACAATTCGGATATTTTTAAGGCGAAATAAAAATACTTGAAGTGTATGTATTCATTTTTATGTGCTCTTCCCCTTCTAGCAACTAAGAAACGATTTGATATAATCTGCTTAACCCCATCGATTTAATGAAGACAAAGTGAAATTCACATTAGGAAATGACTGACTGCTTAGTAAACATGGCTCATTTTTTATTTATCTCGTAAAAATTTAACTTACTAAAGCATGAGCCAACTGTAGCTACTGTATAGCTTTTTATCAAAAATTACATACTAATTTATTCTCAATCATTAAAAAAATATATTACTCATCCTTTAACATACTTCTTACTTGTGATTAGCATTTATTAATAATAATTTATTAAAGATTTCATTCAAGTTTTTCGTTTTAGTTTTGAAAGATTTTATTCCATTTTTTGTCACTTAATTTTATTTCTTTTAACATTTCCCAAATTTAATAAGATATCTTAACCTTGGAAATTTGTTTATTCGATTTTTGCTTTTGTTTTCTGATTCTCATTTGTAACCCGTTTTCATAACTCTCCACTATTAATTATAACATATTCAGTTGCTTTGACTTGAGGTTTTGGGTTGAAATTCGAGGGCAGATCGAATGACAAACAAGCAGATTCAAGAATTTAAAAAAAACTGTTGTCGTTATTGTAAAACCTTGATGGTTATTCTCATCAGTTTTAAACTTTAAAAGTGATTACTTTTTTAAAAATTAAAAACATGTAAAAAGTAAGATAATAAGGGTCTTATTTTCAAAAATATATTTAAGCAGTGAAAATTGAAATTTTATTCTAATGATTAAAACTTTAATTTGAAAAGACAATTTGTAATACCATATGAACTCTATTGCTTTATACGATACTATTTCCTATATTCTACCTCAGCTTATTATTTGTAGTTTATTAACTGACAAATGAATTTTAAGTTCTGTTCCATATTCTATTACATTTGGGCATATTTCATCTTCTGAAAATGTTTTAAATAAATAACAGGATAACAAACTCGTTTACATTTTATTGATTTTAATTGGACAATATAATAATGAAATACACAATTTTTCAATTACTCGAATCCTAGAAACATTATCAAATTGATAAGACAGTTTGCGATGTTCAAGGAAAACAGATATCGAAAACATACCTGAAACCACTCTCTTTGCGTATATCTTTTTTTTAAATCTATTTGAACAGCAAAAAAATTATTTGGGAAAGATTTTAGAATAATTCAGAACATTTACTGGTAGCAAACGGCATTCAAACAGATTAATTGAGCTAGTACACAAAAATAGAAAGGCGCATAAGACAAAGACGCGTCTTCTTATCGGATATTTTTAACCTTTATACCAAGAAAATGAAAACTAGAAGTCCAACCAGGATTTATTATTGGTGGGCACAATTTTAACCACATAAGATACGCAAGTGGCACTGTGTTTATGACAGACACATAAAAAATGCAGGAACTCCTAGTAAAGGAAAGAGGGGAAAAAAGGATTAACCAACAAATTTAAGAAGACAAATGTATGCTCGTTAACAAAGGCAAGAGCACAAGATGTTAGCTACGGATTAGAAACGTCTAAATCAAGCAAGTACAAATTTAACAAACGACGAGAAATGTGATTCTAAAATCCGAAACTGCATTGGGATATCGAAAGATGTTTTCTAAAAGCTAAACACAATATTAAGAGACAGGAAATTTGGGTTAGAAATAAATAAAAAAATGAACTGCTATTCTTCAATCCTTCTAAACAATGAATGGTGAACAATTTCCGCAGAGATGAAGAGGAGAATAACAGATGTGGTTTTACAGAGGAATGCTGATAATACCATGGATGTAGCATGTGAAAGATGAGGAAGTTTTAAGGACATTGGAAACAAACAGGACATTTATACTTAAAGTTAGAAAGTGACAATTAAAGTTTCTTGTACATATAAGAGGCTTGAAGAATTTGATACTCATAAGACATATTGAAGGCAAAAAAGCAGAGGAAAATAGCAACTTGCCGAATTTAAATTAATAGTAGAACAAGGACTGTGTGATATTAAAGAGAGAAACATTTCTTAGAGCTACAGCGGAAGTTGTGGAGCGTCATAATCGCTCACGACACATTTTGTATTATGGAATAAAATTATTAACATAATAATTTAGTTTCATTTTCTGATTTGAATAAAACGGTTGGCGATGTAATTAAAAAATTCAACTTGGCTTCAATTAACCATTTAGTGTCCGAAACAAATTTTAGCCACTAACAACGGATTTGATTACATTATTGTTGTTTTGGGTGCTATTCATTAAATGTCTGTAAATCATCTAATATTATATCAAGTTGTCAAACTGTATTTGAAAATGTTTAACAACATTTTAATAAAAAAATCTTGTTATCGAATAAATAAATAAAACAGGAGAATTTTAAAAATGTTTTTTTCGTTTTTGTTTTAATTAAGGTTGGGTGAGTATGAACTCTAAATCGTGACATAGAATTGAATGCTGAAAAACAGGACATTAAAAATATTGAGGAAGCAGTTAAATGCCTCACCTTAATCTGTCCTTATTCCTGAGTCATTAAATAGGATTGGGACACAGGATGCCATTGTTTTATACATCACTATCGTTTTTATTTATCTTTTTTTTACTTTTCACTCTCTCTCTCTCTCTCTCTCTCTCTCTCTCTCTCTCTCTCTCTCACACACACACACACACACACACACACACACACACATATATATATATATATATATATATATATATTAATCATTTCACCCTAAGCAAGGAAATAAAGCCGCTAAGACACAAGGGGGTTACTGTGTGTGACAGAAAAAAAAATTATTAAGAAGCGAGAACAATAAAAGAAGCATTGCATTTAATTTTTTGAAGATCAAAGTTGGCTAGAAATCAAGATATCAGAAGAGAGTTCCACAAGGGAGCATGCGAGAAAAGAAACTCTTAACATAGAATGTACGGTTTCATCTAGCCATTTTAACTGTAAAGTGATGAGACCTTGTTGCCAAATCTCGTAGTGTGCTTAAATTCATAAAGCCTAGGTACCAAAGAGGAAAGCTCATCAGAACAATTACAATGAAAGTAGTTAAAGAAAAGGCACAAGGCGATTATGGCGATACGTCGAAGAAAAAATACGCCGGAAACAACGAACATTAAAACATCTGAAATATACATAGGAAGGAAAATTTCAAGTCAAACAATTAAAAATGAAGGGCTTTAAAGCAGTAATATTGGAATTAATAGAACAACAGCAAGAACAACAATAACAACAATTCCAGGATACATTGTTGAAAGAAAAATACTAGAACTTTTTATGAAGCGTAAAGGTAATGAAAACACTACTTTTTTCTCACATGACTCAGTAGTAACTGCAATTAGTGAATTTAAATATAACCTTGATGAAGAGGTTACATTTGCAGCTCTGAGGAAATCTTTTAAAAAGACTGTATAAGCTGATCGGACGAGAAAAAGGTGCGCCTGTTATTAAGAAAGTTAGGGCCCACGGAACACGAAAAATACGTGTGAATCGTCGTTTGAAGAAATTATTATTATTTTAAGTAAAATCTTCAGTGAACGAACTTCATTGTTTAATACACGTTGGCAATGCTTATATCTTGTAAAAAAGACTATGAAGATCATACCACTTATGTCACTATCGTAAAGAGGTAATGTAAAAGTTCAAGTTAAGCGAACTAACACCCAACATGTTTAAGTGCTTGATCTTCGTACAAGGGTTGATAGTGATGCGGGAATCCGTTTCAGAATTTTGACTACGCTCGGATAGGACTAAAAATGTAGCTGAAGAGTGTCAAAGAGTAGTGCACTTACAAAACGATACGACTAGAATTGAGGAAAAACATGTATCTCATATAAATTCTGTTCGTTCCAAGGTATATGGAAAAACAAAATACTTTGCAAAACCAAATCCATGTTACGGATGCGGCGAAATATATTTCAATAGGAACTGCCCTTTTAAGAACTAGAAATGTTACGGCTGTGGAAATGCGGAACACAAGGGTTGTACTGTAAACGTTGCGTCGACGACAGACAACGCAGACAATTTATAACCGTAAAAAGTAAATAGAAGAAACATAAAGTTTCAGCTAGACAGTGGGTCAGATTTGACTATTATAAACAAAGAAACGCGGGGAATAAGCGATAAACCTGTTGCGGGGCCGATAAGGATGTCGCCCCCGCAAGCTTTATGAAGAAAGGTGTGAACAGCTAAGACAATGAGGGGACAAAGGCAAAGGTTTAAGAAACAATAACCTTGATTTTATTTTATCCAAAATGTACAAGAGTGTACTCTGGAGAAATATGTCGGTATCGGCGTCGGGTCCGGTATGACTGGTAGTTGTCTATCGCGGAACCATTCGCAGCTCGTAGTTTGACCAGGGTAGGCTTAGCGGTGTGGTCGTTCTGATTGGGTACCACGCTGATGGCCGCACCTGTGTCTACAAGAAATTTCAGTTTGTTCCGGCGATCCCAAACGTAGAATAGACGACATTGCGTGTTGGTACCGGATGAGTTAGTCGTCGCCACTCTCCGGTTTATTCGTTTCCCCGGGCCGACGGGTGTGTACAGGGAGGTTTACAGTTCCTGGCTCCATCGCCAAATGTGCGATGAAACCAACAAACACCCTGGTCGCTTCGCCGTTCTCGGCTGGGGGTACGTCTCCGTCGAGATGGGGTCGGTTTCCTTGTCCGTGGGCGCAGGGAGATCTGGATCTCTCGAATTTGTCGTTGAAGGTCGGCCAACGCCCGTTCCGTCTTACTCGGCTCGTAGAATCATGTCTTCCTCGGAACGCCTGGTACGCTTGAGGATCGCTTCCTTTAAGTGATCGTACGATTCATGTTCGCGCAAATCGGAGAGGACGTCAGAAATTTCGTCCATCATATCGGATGGGAGTTTCTGCATTACGTTCGCGAATCTTGCTCGCTGCGAAGTAATGCATAACATGGAAAAGATCGATTCTACCTGCAAGAACCAGTTCTTGGCATTATGGTGGTATGCAGGCAGAGGTATGATTGCGGCCGTCATGTCTAAAGAATCACTTTTGACCGACTCCATCATCGCTTAGCAGTCTCACGTCGGGAAGTCACCACTTGTTGCGGGGCCGATAAGGATGTCGCCCCCGCAAGCTTTATGAAGAAAGGTGTGAACAGCTAAGACAAAGAGGGGACAAAGGCAAAGGTTTAAGAAACAATAACCTTGATTTTATTTATCCAAAATGTACAAGAGTGTACTCTAGAGAAATGTGTTTAAATCGGTGTCGGGTCCGGTATGACTGGTTTTGTTTAGGGGTAGCTGCTTTCGATCGTATCGGCGAAACGAATGTAGAGTTGATCGGCGACGGTAGCTGGTCGACTGCCGGATGGGAGAATAGTCTGGAACAGCAGCAGGTTGATCGATGTCCCTATGCATATATTTTCTACCGGAAATTGCTCTGGTCGATCGTATTCTCTGGCAAAAATGTTTTCCTTATTATTTTTATATATGTATTAGTTTTTCTTATTATTTTTATATATGTATTAGTTCGACTCACAAATAATTTTCGTTTTTTCTTTATCAACTTTATTCTTTAAGAACTAAAGTACAAATTATTATTATTATTTTATTAAATTATATTTTCACCATTATTTGCAGTGATTTGTTGCCACTTATCTGGCTAGCAGATATTCGATAACTTTTCAGCAAAATTCCGCATGTTTTTATGTGAAAAGGTTTTCGATGAACTCTTGAATCTGATTTTATTTAGAGAAAGCTTTTCCCATAAAAGCGTTTAGCAACGATCGAAAAAGGTAATAATTGGTTGGTGCAAGGTCAGATGAATAAGGCGGGTAGAAGAGAACAAACGAACCGTATTCCAATTTATTCCTGTGTTATTCATGCCTTACATTTGCATCGAGAACAATATTTTTCTATTGACAAACGCTGGGCGCTTTTCAACCAAACATTTATAAACACGTTACAATTGTAAGAATTCTCTCTCTCTCTCTCTCTATATATATATATATATATATATATATATATATATATATATATATATATATATATATATACAACTACCCACTAGGAATTTTAAACAACTTGCATTCAACTCGGTGTAATACAGACTTTCAACTTACTCTAGCAACAAAATTATCTTTGACAAATATAAACAATTATTGGAGTCAGGGCTACTTTAGTGCCAATAAGTTCTTTCTGTATTTCAGTAAACTTGGTATCATTTTGTAGTGCTATGATTATTCTATCAAGAAAATATATTATAAATAAAAATAATGTAATTATATCATTAATGCAAGAAAATAACTATTTTCATTTTATTTGCATAGAAAATTATGTACACACACAAACATTTTTAGTATTTTCCTGTAGTCCTGTGTCCTGTTATTAAAAACATAATGTTAACAGCAAATATTATTAGCCCTCCCCCAATTAAATAGCGGCCTCTTGAATTAAAAATGGCGAAAAATTTACCGTTAAACCAGACATAGCATCTACTTTTTTTTTATGAATCCGAGATAGTGTATTTACAATATCTAAAGTCAAAATCTCTTGACGTGAAAGTTCACACGGGATCCAACTCACCTGCTAAAATATAAGAATCGAAACGGACTTTCTCTCTGAAGGATGTATAAACAATGTTCCAAAACCCTTAATTTCCTAAGAACTAAGTAAATGTACACATGTGCCCCTTATGCTGGACCGTTTAAAGTCATAGAGAAACACAAAAAATATTGTTATTCACCTCCATTCAGGATATCATCAAAATGTGTCCTTAGTCAGACTAAAGCCTGTAACACTGTCAAATATATTTCTGTCTGATCTAAAATCTAATGGAATAACAACTGATGATGATACACCCACTGTTAAACTATCAACTGAGAAAAACACCCCAGATGAATACTCTCAAAAATTAGAACAATCTCAAACTCAACCTAGAACCACACGCTCATTTTCTAAAAAGAATGAGTTTATATATTTCTAGTAAATAATGTATTTATAGAGCTCCGCTTCTGGGTGGTGTTGTATCATGGGAGAATGAAAATAAAATAATAAATAAAATAATAATAAAAAATATAGTATTTCATTTTCTCATAATGCAAAAGGGAATCAAAAAGGGTTTCTGGTCACGTGTAAATTTTATGACCTCCACTTCCGGAAAGGAGATGATCGTTCTTTTTTCACTTTCAAACCATTAAGTTTGGACGTACTTGGTAGCAGTCCCAAGAAAGAGAGATTCGGCCACCTTCACTCAACGTCAGGCTGACTTGAGGTTGACCATTCTCTATAACTCCGTATCTTTGTACCTATGGGCGTCAAATAACATTGGCTAGTCATTTTCTACTCAAGTCTTCGTTTGGTTTTGTTTATTGGGTCCACCGACATTCAACTTCTGTTAGCGGCACGAAGACAAATACAACCCTCCACAAGGTTACCCATATCGATATACACCAGATGAAGGCCGAAAGGTACTACGGCCAAATGACAATAGTTTGAATGTAAATACCCTAAAAAGTTGTTATCTTTTATATAAAATCATACTTATTATAAAACCCAGATTGTGTGTGTGTGTGTGTGTGTGTGTGTGTGTGTGTGTGTGTGTGTGTGTGTGTGTGTGTGTGTGTGTGTGTGTGTGTCTGTACGTTTATATATTGGATCGAATTTCCTACATTTTTCAACCGATTTCAACAAAACTTCACAGGACTACGTAAAATTACCTTGCGATGGTTCTGACAGCGCCAAAAATTGGAAAAACACAATTGTTTTTGCACGAAATCAATTTGAAAACATGATTAAGAGGCATCGCGAAAATGAAAGGGGGACAACTCATATCGAGTTATACTTATTATAAAACCCAGATTATTTGTGCGTGTGTGTGTGTGTGTGTGTGTGTGTGTGTGTGTGTGTGTGTGTGTGTGTGTGTGTGTGTGTTTATATATGGGATCGGATTTCCTACATTTTTCAACCGATTTCAACAAAACTTCACTTTTTTTTGGCAGGTAGTGTTTCTTATTGTCTTGCAAACTTTTTTCTTTATTTTTACATAAAGAATGCTTTAAAAATTTCATTTACAAGCCAATTGTTTATAATAAAATTCTATTCAATCGGTAGACTCATAACGATTGAAAACAGTGTTTCTGTTTAAGTTTGGGTTTGACCAATTCTTAAAAAAAAATAAAAAATAATAATTAAGACGTGTATCCGTCAACCTTAAACAATAATCTTTGTCATTTTTTTTATTTTTCCGTCTTTATGATGGTCGATACTTGATTTATCTCTTACTGTTACATCCCCGGGCAACGCCGGGCTCTACTGCTAGTCAACCAATAAATAGACAAATAAAAAAAAAAGTTAAAATCAAACCTTAAAATAAAGCGTTTTTAAAATAAATTCTAAGTGACAAATTTGACTTAATCTGGACTTGATATTTAAATATTTTACATCTATTTTTGCAGTAGATAAGCGACTTGTATGAGAGCAGACAATAAGTTGTTGTCTTTTTGAAACCTAGGCGTTGCCAGAAACAGATGATAAAAGTGGGCCTTTTTCTTTCAACAATTCCACCAGTTTGTGACACAAATAATTGACGGAAATGTAACTGCAGAAATCGACGTTCCGGATGGAATTGGCGTCATTGAGAATTTCCTGTCAGACTAAGAAATGGCCGATTAGGAGAGACGGCACCATTAGCACAACAACAAAAAATACCATAATAACAATAACCTACTGAGCTCTGACCACGAAAGAAGGAGACATTTCAACCTTAGGCTGACCGGTTGTTAAGAAAAGCGTTTGAGTGAGTTATATGAAATACTAGTTAATAAGAAAAACAACGTTTGTGTGAAAAGTAAAGGATTTGCAGCTGAAGATAATATATTCAACTTTAGTTTGGGCAGAATTAATAATTTTGTAGTTAACTTTGTACAACAATCAGGAACAACCTTTTTTTTGTTCTAATTAGTTCTTCCAATAAAATGATATTTTTTAATATAGCAAATGATTTATTATTGCTTTCGTTATTAATTAATCTACAACGGTTCAAAATTTATGATGACGAAATCATTTTAGCGTAAGTAGAGTTTCTTAAATCTCAGATGTGAAAAATTTGAACGTTGCACATAAGAATTGATATATAAATACCAACATGAATATAGAATTTGAATTAAAAAAAGCACTTTGTAAAAGCGAACAAAGTAAATGCTTGCTTGAGATTTTTTTAAAAATTAGATGTAAATTTATTTTCTCAATATCATCCTCGAGTTTGCTACTTGATAATTCATTCTACGCACTTATTCTGTATTTGTAACCCTCTTTTTTTCGACCACTGTTAACATTTCTGGGTGATACACGTCCAGTTCGATATTTTAGAGTACAGGAACGTGTACACAGAGAGCTGAGTTAGTAAACGGGTTTGAACATTACAAATACAAATATTCGAACTACTCATGCTTTTAAAAATTGCGTTCATTTAATTTCTTTTTTCACTGAAATATATTAGCATTAACATCATGCTGCCTCACTTCAATCTACAGGTTCATTTTTATTTAACTCATTAAAGGTTTATAGGTAGAAATATCCTCTATGGGATTCACGATTTACAAGTATGAACCTATAATTAATGTCGAATTTTGTTTTATAAATCTCTAGTTAACAACGGATGAAAGCCATAATTATAAAGCCATAAATCTATAATTAACGTATGATTTTACAAATTCTCATTGGTGTAATGGAATGAGAAACAGGAAAGCCGAGTTCAAATTCAAGTCAAGTTCGTTATATTAACTTACGCACAAATACCTTTGAAAAAGGCATGAAACCATCTCTTCCCTCGTCCCAAGCTATGGATACAACAGACTGGGCCATATAGCTTTGGTTGCCAACTAGTCTAGGAGAAAGAAAATTTCGGAGTTTAAATCAGCCTGGAGAGTGTTTGGATCTGTCAGGATGTCTTGCATAAGACGCACCACCGCTGCTACGGATGCAGTACATTGGGTGCCCCTACAACTCTAATGAGTTACAGGACTCATGATTGTGAATCAACTTTTACATTCAATATCGATGGCTTTACAGTAAACTTATGATCGCTTAATATCTGTAAACTGTGCATTGTCTTTGGGATGATAATGGAATTGTTTTACATTTTCTTCTCTATGATTTTCAATTCAGAGTTACCCTTCTTTTGACTGGATGCTAAACAATACCCTACTATTTAACCCACATATCTAAGGGTTGAGAAGGTGAGAAAAGGAATTCATATATTTCCCAAGGAAACTTGAACAATTTCAACCCTAACCCCCTCCCAGAATATACGTGAGTATAGTTTGGCCTAGTCCAGATTAGGGCTCTAAGCATGATTAGAGTTAGCTTACTTCATAATTCGTGGTCTAAAATACCCTAGTCTAAACCCCCATACCTCCTTTTACTCTCAACAACTGTTTTCTCAGTAGGTATCCAGACTTAAGCTGCAGCAATATTTTTTTTTTATTATGCCTCTTGATTCCTTGTGGAACATAGGGCCGCAACAACACCTCTCTAATGGACGCGGTTACAGGCTATCCTCTTCAGCTGGGCCCATGTCGTGCCGGTTGCCTTCACCTCTGCGTTAACACTTTTGCACCAAGTCTGTTTTGGTTTACCCACTTTTCGCTTCCCTTGTGGATTCCAGTCAAGACACTAGAAGCAGGCTTGCAGAGTGTGTGGCCAATCCATCCCCATTTCCGTGTCTTGATGTTGATTGGCGCTCGTCTGGTCCTGTCCCACAGTTGGTCGTTGGAGACGACTTCCGGCCATCTGATATTGAGGATGTTCCTGAGACATCGGTTGATAAATTCTGAAGATTGTGGGTGTTGGTCTTGGTTACCTGCCAGGTTTCTGAGCCGTAAAGTAGGACCGAATTGACGTTGGTGCTGAAGATCCAGATCTTGTTGCAAAGTGAGAGGATTGCTGATCTCCAGGTTGGCCGCAGAGTGTTGAAAGCGTCTCGAGCTTTGTTGATTTGACATTGATGTCTTCATCTGTTTCTCCATCTTTACTGAAAACGCTTCCCAAGTAGACAAACTTATGGACTTCCTTGATGTCTTCTTGGTGTAGTCGCACAGTGACATTTTTGTTGTTTACTTATATGACCTCTGTCTTCCCAATGTTGATTTAGAGGCCGCTTCTTCTACAACAAGCCTCAGCTTCTCCTGCGCATCTTGTTGTTTTTAGGAAATAAGACTGATGTCGTCTGCGAAGTCCAGATCATCCAGCTGCTTCATGAAGGTCCACTGTAAACCAGTTCTCCTGCCTGCATTATCCAGTCGACCACCAGCAGGAAGATCGTCGACGAGAGCAGGCATCCCTCACGCCAGTTTGCACGAAAAATGGCACTGTCAGCTTCCCGTCATGGATAACTTGACAGGTGGCATCTTCATACAGTTGTTGGATGATGGTGACGAACTTTGGTGGAAAGCCGTAGTGCTGCATCAATCTCCAGATGACGTCTCTGTCGACACTATCAAAAACTTTCGGTGATTCGAACTCACATCACTGATTCCTCGTTGTTTATCGTCAGTTCTAGTTGAAAATGCATTTCGTTAAATGGAATAAAAATAAAAATAGAAAAAAGTTTCCTTGAATTAAAATTTCCACTGAGATAATTTTTGTGAGATATTCAAATTTTTACGAATTTCGTCTACAAAAACTAGAAAATAAAAAAAAATGCTAAATGTATTCTTGCTTCACTAATGATACTGTTCATTAAAATTCAATGTTTGTTATTGACTTTTGTTTATTATTGAGTGCCTTTCATGTTTCAACTTCTCAGCCAATCTATGGTAAATCACAAGTATTAACTCATGGCTACGTTTTTAAGGAAACCTATATAAGATTTTATTTTTCACAGACCGTTGGATTCGATCTTCGATATTTATCAGAAAGTTATAGGTTCATTTTATTAGAAATACTGTTGCGGAAACATTTGTTTTTTACATTGAACTATAACATATTTTATTGCTTGCGCAAACTATAGACAATAGATAAATAAAAGTAATCATATTGACATGTCCTTTTCTGTGTGTATGTGTGTGTGCGTAAAGTTCCTCTAAATATTTGCGAGACTTACATTTGATAAGATTTTTATGAGTTTGATTATAATGTTTAGATATTCCTTTTTGAAGTCAAGTAAGTTTAGGGGATTATATGCGATGTACTTTCTGTGTAGTTTCTTATTCAACATTAGGTTTGCTGTAGAGGTTTCCCAGAAGAGAACAAAACACGTTCTGTGGTTACAGCAGGCTGCGCATAAAAAGAAAATAGATATTAGGTTGGAAGCAAAATCATGTCGCATATTTGACATAATCCCTTTGAAGTTACTTTTTCAATACTTACAGTAAAATAACCATTAATTTTTACGTTCTATTTTTTGTAGATTACTTAAGATCTAGGTGTTTTAAAATGAGCTTGTGGAAAGGCGTTGTCTATCATGAAGTGAAACAATTAATACAGAGAAGTATTGTCAAATAGAAACATTGCTCAAATATTTTTTTTAAAAAAGTGCTTATCACTGGCTAATAGTAAAGACGTGTTACTCTTACTGAAATACAACATACTGCTAGTCAGTCAGAAAAAAGATTATGACACTAAATATGTAAGTTTTTTTTCCTCATCTTCCTTACTCACCCGACCTTGTTCCATCTATCAACATTTTATATCACCGTAACAATTTTAAAGAGAAAATAAGTTATTAATTGTGAATAGGCTAAAACTGATATTGAGAGTCACTTTGCATTGAAAACTGAAGGGGTTTACACCCGAGTGATCAACAATTTTCCAAAGAGATGTAATTATGTTATCGATAATTAGATAGATAATGTTGTACATTTAAAAACAAGAACGCGAGTGGTTGGGTATGTGCATGTAAAAAAATAAAAGTCTATAAACATATCTGTATATATGCATATGTGTGTACGTGAGATATTTTTTGGATTAGCATGCGTGTGTTTATAGAAGAGAGAAAAGAAAAAAGTATCTGTATATTGCTGAGAAATCGTATGTGGATGTGTGAATAACGTATGCGAAAGTGATGAAAGAATCAGGAGGAACATTTGTAGGTGTGTGTGTGTGCGTGTGTTGTAGCGTGCATACACTTTTGCTCGTGTTCATGAGAGTATCATAAGAATCTGATCGATGGTCGTTCTATTTTGGTTCATATGACTGTACGAAGAGGTTTTAAATTTGTAACATATCGATTAAAATAAATTATGTGAAATAAATCGTCCGTACGAAGTAATTTATTCATAGACTATAACTATCTAATCACAGTAGAAATTTGTCAACGATTTTTTAATTTTGTAAAAAAGGCTACAATTTTTTTCTTTAGTTTTTAGTAGATTGACTTGTGAAAGCTGATCGTTTTATTTATTTATAAAAACAAACCTCTTTCTTCACACTTTGGTCTGTCTAAAAGTCATGGAATATTTTATTTGTCCTCGTACAGTATTTAGCTTGCGATCATATAAGTTGCAGTTGCTGTTCTTCTTCATATTGATATCAAGTGCTTGCTGTTGTGGATCATGTAACAGCTAGATACCCTCAAATCTTCTCTTTGCTTTTTCAAATTTGGTGCATTTTTCACATGGGGTATATCTGTGTTTCTGTTCAGAAAACCAAGATACTGTCTAGATCATTGCGTAGACAGCTTCAACCCATTCCTCAAATTTCCAATAATTCCAGTTGCCTATAGAATTATTTCAAAGGTGCCAGTTAGCATGAGCCTGAGTTCGATTCTTATGATCCATAGTTTCTCCAGTTTTCAAGTAGAATTTTGGCATTTTTAAAATTTTTTCCTCATTTTATTACAAATCTTCACTGTCACAAACTTTACTTTCCTCATTCATAACAAACAGATCCTGTCTTCTGGCTTGAATGGGGTCGTCAATCTGCATCTTCGAGTTCAAAATTATTTTACATTGTAAACACTTTGTAGAACAGCGTTTGATTTGTTTATATGTTTCTAACCCAAGTAATTTTCACAGATCCTACTATCTCGTTGTCCTTAGTCTGTCATGTTTTTTTTATCCATTTGGGCCAACTTACTGCATTTACTTATGACACAGTTGACAGTCTCATATTTTTATACAAAGGCGAAATTTGCTGTTTTTCTGAGTTTTATAATTGTTTTTTTCTTATTTATTTATAGATAACCTTATTTTTATATATTTTTCTTTTGTTATACTGTATTATTTTTATAACGTATTTATCCAATACTTATAGCAACATCACAATGCTGAGTCCCTTTTGCAAGATGTCTTTAAATTTTTGTTAGCTAAACGTAAGGAAAACGCAAAAGTGGAATATATTGTTTTCCCAAAACAACGAATAGAATGATTGAAAAATATACTCTATGCCATAAAAATTTTAATGCAAACTCAATATTGTTATCAAACGCTAAACATATTAGTTGTATAATTATTTTCTTATCATTTCTTCATACTCTTCCTGCTGACATTGTAACTTTTTCTTTTACCTTTTAAAAATATTTTTATATGGACTTCACATACATGATTCGAATTCTGTAAGCAGTCGAAAAGATTTTGTAAAATATATTTTGTTCTTTTTCTTGTAAGCTGAGAAAATATCAAATAATGATGTCAGCTAAGGGGTTTCCTGCAACAAACTGCTCGGAAATGAGATTTGAAACAGTTAGACTTACACAACTGCGTTTCATGTTATCGTTGTTAGCCGCTTTTAAGTGTCACATAAACAACTTGCTTAATTCATTTCCGGGAAGTATAGAAAGAAAGTGAATACGAACGGGTTTGTACAGATAACACATAATAAATCTGTCTAACATTAGAAGAAAACAAAAAGGTCTTAAAAGTGAGTAACATGCATAACAAAATATTCTCCCTAAATTACTGGATATTTAATAAGTATACACCCATAGAAATGTTCAAACGCCAAGCAAATTTTGTACAGTATACACACACACACACACACACACACACACACACACACACACACACACAAACTTGTTGAGCAATTAGTTTTCATCTATATTATAATTATCCGATTTCTGTATGTTTATATTTGTTAATAAGACAGGAAAAACTGTAGACCGTAGCACCATTTTATCACAATAACGTTTAGATTCTATAATTTTGAAAATATAACATCTTAGTGTTATCGAGCTACTGGTTTTCGATAAATTTTTAAGGAATTACGTCTGTTTAAAGAAGAACTTTTTAGGTTTATTTACAGGTAATTACGTTTCCTGAGTTTTAATAAGAAAACAGGAATGTATACACAGAGAAGACTCATTAACCAGTCTGCACCATGATTATTATTATTATTATTATTATTATTAGCAGCAGCAACATTTGAAAATAATTATAATATAAAATTTATATTATAAACAGAAAGTGATTTGATATCAAGTGAAGTTCGCCGATGGCGGCATTCAAGCGAGTATATTTAAAATTATTTTACAAACATTTCGGCCTTGAAAGCATGAAAAGTTTTCCCACTACTGATGTATGTCTCGATTTTCATCGTTCTTTCAAACGAGTACCATATTTACATATTTTATAAAATCTTTTTAATGTTCATCCATAGTTGAACGATGCATTTTGAAAGAGCTATTTATCGAATACATATTCAATAAACATCAATGTAGAAACAATTGTAATTACTGTTTTATATCTCACTTGAAGTTTAGCTTTCAAAAACAGAACTGATAGTCAGATAATAGTCAAAATGCTGACATAAAATAATAATTTGCTTATTAGAGCTATTATTTCTTATTGATTATTTTTCCTTAATCTCGTTTTCTATTTACACTTATATTTTATTATATAAACCATTTTTAGAGTCACTTTGTTTATTAGCTTGAGTCATAAGTAATTTCCGTTTTGAGAAACCAATTACAATCACGAATACTAACTACTAATCATATATGGTAGCTAAGAATAAATATGGAGTACATATCTTACTTTTTTTTCTTTCTTTTTTTTAAGCGTTTCACCCCAAGCAAGGCGGGAAGCCACTAGGACGCAAAGGGTTACAGAAAATTTGGAGCAAGGTCAGATAGGAGTGATAGAAGAAAGGATGAGAAGAAGGGTAGTGGATAGATCAAGGCAACTGAAGATGTCGATTGACATTACATTTGAATAGCTTGAGATTATAGCTCTCAGGGAAACTGGAATAGGGAAGGGAGTTCCACAGGCGAGAGGTGCGAGACATGAAGCTATTGGAGTAGAAGAGACGGCTACATTTAGGAGTTTCGACAGTGAAGGGTGAGAGCGGGATGCCAGCCTCGTAGGGCGCTTGAACTCATGAAGTCTGGGAACCAGCGAATGCAGCTCCTCGGAGCAATTGCCATAAAGTATTTGTAAAACAGACAGAGAGAGGCGACGGCGCGTTTGTGAGAAATTGACTGTAGACGAGATGCCAGAACAGGGCCAATTATATTGCATATCCGCCTCTGGAGCCTATCAAGAACCTCGAGGCAAACAGAAGGGGCTCCAGACCATATATGGCAGCAATACACCATGCAAGGGTGAATTGTTGATTTGTAGATCTGGAGGATCGATTCCGGGGAGAAAAATTTCCTGGCGCGGCACAGAGAGCCAACTTTCCTTGCAGTGGACGAAGCAATTGACTCAATGTATTTGTTCCATCTCAGGTCAGCCGTCAACGTGAGGCCGAGCAGCCGCAGAGAGTTGCTCTCGAGAAGTTGAGCGTCAGACATTTTAATGGAGGACAGGGAAGGATCTCTGTGGTGATTAATAGAGAAGTTTTGTTTTTTAAAGCATTAAAGTTGACCAGCCAATTCCTGCCCCAGTTCACAACCGATTGGAGGTCCTTTTATAGATGAGACAGCCAGGTTAGTTGGAATTGTTTTCGCCGTTTCTTTCTCCTGTTGTTCTTAATTTTAAAAAACCGCATGCCTCCCAAGCCCACTATTTGGTGAGGGCGGTGGATTTTTGATCCATTCACACACCTTAGGTCGATGCAATTGGACTTAAGGTAAAATTACATTCACTTGTTATCATGAAAAAGAAAGCGGACAAACACTTGCTGCCCTTGTGAGTATAATTTCGCTCTACCGAAAACTCATTTTAATTTTTTTTTTTATTTTTTTTTCTTTAATTCTTATTTTTTTTAATCTTTAAATTTTATTTTATTGTATTTTTTTCTCCGCCTACTCGTCATTGTGTTTGCCCATAGTAACACATTTTGTCCTAATCATTCTATTTGATGGTTTAGTTAAAATAAAAAAAAAACATTTGTCAGACCCTTGAATGAAAGATTGAGAAGCTGCAAAATATCTTAACGTCCTGGTGAAAAAAAAATGATTTTGTACGCATTATCGAAATACGGTCTCAAACGGCCTTAAAACGATTGAACCGATTGGAAATCAGGAAAAGTCAGAACTTTCCAGCTAACATCATTACTAAAAACCAGATTCAAGTCATTGAGGAGAATATTTGAATGGTGAGGAGACTTCAAAAATGTTATGAATGATGAGAAAATAGAAGTTTTAATTAAAAAAAATAAAACCTCACACATTTTGATTAAGATTCTGGTATTCTAAACACGGAGCAAAACTTGCGAATATAAATAATATTTATCTATATAAATAATGCTATCTCCAAGATTAAGTATTTGAAGTGAAAAATGCAAAATTTATGTTTTATTTTCTCAACTCCCACATCCTTAACGATAATGATAGTTGAAGTTGTGATAAAATAAGTGCCTTCTGATTACAGATGATAACAAAAATGAGTAATATCCCTTCAAATTAGTTATGCTATAATAAACGATACAAGATAAACTATAATAAACAATACAAGAAATAAAAATATTTTATGCCACCAACAGATAACTATATGCGCTAATTTTACATATCTAGTCAAGAATTAATCAAAATGGATAAAAGATGATAAAATAATGGCTGATGAAATACTTAAGACATCTAAAATGTTTAAGATCGCAAATAACATGGTTAGGAAAGATTTTAAAGTACTTTTCTAACTTCTAAAAAAAGATTTTCTCCTTTCTTGTTAGGCTATTTCGCACTTGAGAGAAAATACTTGCCTCTTTAACCTAAATTAATGATATTATAACCCAAGACTTGCATTAAACAGACATAAATTAACTCATTCTTAAAGTGAAGCTCTAGCCAACAATGATAAATTGATAAAACCCAAAGGAGAATCAGGAATATTATTGGTCCTGACCTGGCGTCTCGACTACAGGCACTTTCCCATCACCGTAATATACCTTCCCTGTTTGCTTTCTTTTCTATAAATACTTTCATGTACTTGTTCAAATGAACTCTTCGCTATGTTACATAGACCTATGAAGTTCGAGCATCATGGGAAAATTTGGTGATAAAAATCAATGCAGGAATACGATTAAATGTACAAATTGTTGTCCAAATCACGAATGCAGGAATATGTGAGTCATGGAGAAAAAAAAAGGAATTTTTTAAAATAAAATTCAGACAAAACCTACAATGAGAATTACATAGTCGACTGATGTAGAAGGTAAAGAAAATAGATCCCTGGTAGAAAAACTACAACAACTAGGTCGAGATGACCTGGTAAAAGTTTATAAAAGAATTAAAAAGTAATCTTAAGGGATAAGAAATCAACCCTATCTACAACGTTTCACAAAAAAAAGAAAAAGGATCAACACTATCTACAACGTCTGACAAAAAAAAGAAAAAGAAATCAACTCTATCTACAACGTCTCACAAAAAAAGAAAAAGAAACCAACTCTATCTACAACGTCTCACAAAAAAAGAAAAAGAAATCAACTCTATCTACAACGTCTCACAAAAAAAGACAAAGAAATCAACTCTATCTACAACGTCTCACAAAAAGAAAAAAGAAATCAACTGTATCAAAAACGTTTCACAAAAAAAAGAAAAAGAAATCAACTCTATTTCCAACGTCTAACAAAAAAAAAGAAATCAACTCTTTCTACAACGTCTCACAAAAAAAGAAAAAAAATCAAATCTATCTACAACGTCTCACGAAAAAAAAAAGAGATGAACTCTATCTACAATGTCTCACAAAAAAAGAAAACGAAATCAACTCTATCTACAACGTCTCACAAAAAAGACAAAGAAATCTACTCTATCTACAAAGTCTTACAAAAAAAGAAAAAGCAATCAACCCTATCTACAATGTCTCACAAAAAAAGAAAAAGAAATTAACTTTATCTACAATGTCTCACAAAAAAAAGTCAAAAAAATCAACTCTATCTGCAACATCTCACAAAAAAAGAAAAAGAAATCAATTCTATCAAAAACATCTCACAAAAAAAGAAAATGAAATCAACTCTATCTACAACGTCTCACAAAAAAAGAAGTCGACTCTATCTACAACGTCTCACAAAAAAAAAATCAACTCTATAACGTCTCACAAAAAAAAGAAATCAACTCTATCTACTACGTCCCACAAAAAAAGAAATCAACTCTATGTACAACGTCTCACAAAAAATAAGAAAAGAAATCAACTCTATCTACAACGTCTCACAAAAAAAATAAATCAACTCTATCTACAACGTCTGACAAAAAAGAAAAAAATTAACTATCTACAGCGTCTCACAAAAAAAGAAATCAACTCTATCTACAACGCCTCCCAAAAAAGAATTCAACTCTATCTACAACGTCTTACAATAAGAAAAAATATCAACTCTATCTACAACCTCTCACAAAAAAAGAAATCAACTCTATCTACAACGTCTCGTAAAAAATATCAACTCCATCTACAACGTCTTTCAAAAAAATGAAATCACTCAATCTACAACGTCTCACAAAAAAAATATATCAACTCTATCTACGACGTCTCACAAATAGAAAAAGAAATCAACTCTTTCTGCAACGTCTCACAAAAAATGAAATCTACAACGTCTTACATAAAAAGAAAAAGAAATCAACTCTATCTACAACGTCTCCCAAAAAAATGATATCAACTCTATCTACCACGTCACATAAATAGAAAAAGAAATCAACTCTTTCTGCAACGTATCACAAAAAAAAGAAAAAGAAATAATCTCTATCTACAACGTCTCACAAAAAAAGAAATCAACTCTATATACAACGTTACACAAAAAAAAGAAATCAACTCTATCTATAACGTTTCACAAAAAAAAAATCAAGTCTATCTACAACGTTTCACAAAAAAAATAAAATCAACTCTACGTACAGCGTCTCACGAAAAAAAAGAAATCAACTCTGCAACGTCTCACAAAAAAGAAATCAACTCTATCTACAACGTCTTACAACTATAAGAAAAAGAAATTGTTTACATAGTGGAGTACCGACCATATAAATATGGTTGGTACCGGGAAGACGGAGGAGGAAGAAGAGATCCAATCCAGAGACTCTGCCCGACTGCGACTAAGTCAACCCATTCTACAGGAACGGTCTTCCCAAGAATATACCAAACTATCAGTAAATATTGTGTACACGTTCTTGTGTCAATGCATTTAGTTTAAGTACATTTTGTGTTGTATTATTATTATTCCATGCTTTATTCAAGTTTCAACAGAAATTAACTCTATCTACAACGTCTCACAAAAATAAAAAATATCAACTCTATCTACAACGTCTCACAAAAAAAGAAATCAACTCTATCTGCAACGTATTACAAAAAATGAAATCTACAACGTCTTACATAAAAAGAAAAAGAAATCAACTCTATCTACAACGTCTCACAATAAAAAAGGAAATCGACACTATATACAACGACTCAGAAAAAAAAAACAGAAATCAACTCTATCTAAAACGTCTCACAAAAAAGAAATCAACTCTATCTACAACGTCTATCTACAACGTCACACAGAAAAAAGAAATCAACTTTATCTAAAACGTCTCACAAAAAGAAGAAAAAGAAATCAACTCTATCTTCAACATCTCACAAAACGTAAAAAAAAAGAAATCAACTCTATCTACAGCGTCTCACAAAAAATAAGAACAAGAAATCAACTCTATATACAACGTCTGACAAAAAAAGAAATCAACTCTATCTACAACGTCTCTCAAAAGAAAAAAAAGAAATAAACTCTAAATACAACGTCTCACAAAAAATGAAATCTACAACGTCTTACATAAAAAGAAAAAGAAATCAACACTATCTACAACCTCTCGTGAGACGTTGTACATAGAGTTGATTTTATTTTTATTATAAAAAAAAGAAATCAACTCTATCTACAACGTCTCACAATAAAAAAGGAAATCGACACTATATACAACGTCTCAGAAAAAAAACAGAAATCAACTCTATCTAAAACGTCTCACAAAAGAAAAAAATCAACTCTATCTACAATGTCTCACAAAAAAAGAAAAAGAAATAAACTCTATGTACAACGTCTCACGAAAAAAAAGAAATCAACTCTATCTACAACGTCTCTCAAAAGAATAAAAAGAAATAAGCTCTTAATACAACGTCTAGCAAATGAAGAAATCCGCTCTCTCTACAACGTCACACAATAAAAGAAAAGAAATCAACATTATCTACAACGTCTCACAAAAAAGAAATCAACTCTATCTACAACGTCTCTCAAAAGAAAAAAAGAAATAAACTCTAAATACAACGTCTCACAAAAAATGAAATCTACAACGTCTTACATAAAAAGAAAAAGAAATCAACACTATCTACAACGTCTCGTGAGACGTTGTACATAGAGTTGATTTTATTTTTATTATAAAAAAAAGAAATCAACTCTATCTACAACGTCTCACAAAAAAAGATATCAACTCTATCTACGACGTCTCACAAATAGAAAAAGAAATCAACTCTATCTGCAACGTCTTACAAAAAATGAAATCTACAACGTCTCACAAAAAAAGATATCAACTCTATCTACAACGTCTCACAAAAAGAAAAAGAAATCAACTCAATGTGCAACGTCTCACAAAAAAAAGGAAAAGAAATCAACTCTATGTACAACGTCTCACGAAAAAAAAGAAATCAACTCTACAACGTCTCACAAAAAAGAAATCAACTCTATCTACAACGTCTTACAACGATAAGAAAAAGAAATTAACTCTATCTACAACGTCTCACAAAAATAAAAAAAGAAATCAACTCTATCTACAACATCTCATAAAAAAGATATCAACTCTATCTACAACGTCTCACAATAAAAATGAAATCAACTCTATCTACAACGTCTTACAATAAGAAAAAATATCAACTCTATCTACAACGTCACACACAAAAAAAGAAATCAACTCTATCTACAACGTCTCACAATAAAAAAGGAAATCGACACTATATACAACGTCTCAGAAAAAAACAGAAATCAACTCTATCTAAAACGTCTCACAAAAGAAAAAAAATCAACTCTATCTACAATGTCTCACAAAAAAAGAAAAAGAAATCAACTCTATGTACAACGTCTCACGAAAAAAAGAAATCAACTCGACAACGTCTCGTGAGACGATGTACATAGAGTTGATTTTATTTTTATTATAAAAAAATGAAATCAACTCTATCTACAACGTCTCACAATAAAAATGAAATCAACTCTATCTACAACGTCTCACAATAAAAATGAAATCAACTCTATCTACAACGTCTCACAAAAAAAGATATCAACTCTATCTACGACCTCTCACAAATAGAAAAAGAAATCAACTCGATCTGCAACGTCTTACAAAAAATGAAATCTACAACGTCTCACAAAAAAATGAAAAAGAAATCAGCTCTATCTACAACGCCTCACAAAAAAAGATATCAACTCTATCTACAACGTCTCACAAAAAGAAAAAGAAATCAACTCAATGTGCAACGTCTTACAAAAAAAAGAAAAAGAAATCAACTCTATCTACAACGTCTCACAAAAAAAGAAAAAGAAATCAACTCTATCTACAACGTCTCACAAAAAAAAGAAAAAGATATCAACTGTATCTACAACGTCTCACAAAAAGAATAAGAAATCAACTCAATGTGCAACATCTCACAAAAAAAGAAAAAGAAATCAACTCTATCTACAACGTCTCACAAAAAAGAAAAAGATATCAACACTATCTACAACGTCTCACAAAAAGAATAAGAAATCAACTCAATGTGCAACGTCTCACAAAAAAAGAAATCAACTCTATCTACAACGTCTTCCAAAAAATAAAATAAATCAACTCTATCTAGAACGTCTCACAAAAAAAGACAAAGAAATCAACTTTATCTGCAACGTCTCACAAAAAAGAAAAAAAGAAATCAACTCAGCAATCAAAAACAACACAAACTTATCCTGAACCAGGAAACGAAAAAAAATGTACCAAAAAGGAAAGCGAACAATTGTCCATTAAACTAAACATTCATAAATAGGGTGGAAATGAAAAGAACAATTGACCAAACCTCAACAAAGAACCAATTTGAAAATCTCGATACGGAAGAGACAGAACCATAAACAAACAAGCAGAAAATTCACAAAAGCAAAGACTACAAGAAGGAAAGACAATATAAGAAATTTCTTACTAAATAATGCTTTAGAAACAACCGGAAAAGATTAAGCTCGCAATAAAAAAAATAAACAGAAAAGCTAGCCTGGAATATATGGAAATAGGAGACCAAACCCCTAAAGCCTAGAACATGAACAAAAACGCAACACTGTTGCACATCATAAACTTCTACCTAGCTATCATTTACTCAGAAGAATAAAAAATATATACTACTCAAATGACTACCCAAACAACTAATACAACAATACCTCACACAAAATTGAGAAACACAATCATCCTACAATGAAACTGCATAAGACCAAACTCTGAAGATCTAAAAAGACCCATACTTGGGTACAACCCAAACGCTACTAAAAAAGGCGATAATTCTCCTTTAAAGGATATGACATCTACAATGAAAATAACACCTCACTAGTAGTTAACAGGCCTACTGGTGACTCACCAATTCTATTTTAAAAAGCAGTCTCGCATGAAATATTCCAACTGAATACAGAACTACAAGCTATTGCAATTAGAACCACGCCTCACCACACAATAACAATCTGCTCAATATACATTCCACCAAAACATAAACTAAAAAAATCTGAAATTGGTGATCTAATAGAACGACTACCAACTCCCTATGTAGTTTTAGGCGACTTCAATTGCCAAAGGGGATATGACATAACCAGAATACCACATGTTAATTTTAATGATAACTTTTGCTTTAGAACGTAGTCGACTGTGGCTCTCCACCAATTCCTTTTCTTTATTATCGCTGAATTGTCATGCATTCACGAGAAAAAAAAGCGGAGTGGTTTCCTGTTGCCTTCTCCAAGGTGTGGAATTCAAAGTTTTCCTTTTCTTAGATTGACCAGAAAACAAACACAACACGTCACTGTACATATACGTATTTGCAAATATGTAAAAATGTCCCGATACAATGAATCCTAAATATTAGAAAAACAATTCAAATTTAAACTGTATTATAAACATATATTGTTTATAAAAAAAGATTTTCCCAAATTTATATAGGCAAGTATGAAAGGTTGTGACAGAATGCATTACTAAAAACTATTTACATATAAAATACATGAACTGAATTTGAAGAGAAATGAAGTGATGAAAAGTTCTTGGTCCGACCAAAAAGCAGTTCGAAATTAAATTTTGATGTTTTACGTTTTTATCCAATTTTGGGAAGTGGATCGGGCCGAGAACAAATATATATATCTCGAGGTTACAAGCTACTCTTAACATACCTCTAAACGACTATCTAAGCTGAAATTATAAAACATTAAGTCCTATTATTTCAAGAAGCGAGTTAAATACATGTTAAATAATAAAATGGAAACGTTTTATTTAATCTCGTAAACATGATTAACAAAATTTATCATTTTATTTTGGCCACATTGAAAGAATCCGTAAGCTAACATTATGTTCATTATTTTATATCAGACTAAATAAGAATTAATGACTCGAGTGATAATATTAAGTTTATAAATCTGGATGAAAACGATCAGATGTATGTGCGTCTATAAGAATGTGGATACACTTGAAGGACTGTAAATATGTAACAGTACGAAAGTTAATATATATTGAAAGAAGAACACATTCAGTACCGTGCAGAGAATTAGTGATGCCCGAGGCTAACTCCTTGGTTGCATACCATTAAAGTTCAAGTATAGGGCATAGTACTGAGAAGTATAATAAAGGAAGACATTTTAAATATGTAAAAACATATGAAACTTGAAATAAACTCAAATTAAATATAACTCAGCCACATTTATTAATTTCGCTTTCCCAAATGGCAGGGATCGTTAACTGATTAAGAACGGAAATTGAAGAATTGAAGAGTCCGCCTTTAAGTATTCAGAGACCGATTTTCATTTCTTCTGAATTTGAATTCAGTCGTAATTAAAGATGAAGAGAGACGGAAAAAGGAATGTTCAAGTTTTAAGTGTCAGAAAACATTTGAACTACTTCATCAACAATAAGGAATTATTTTTCAAAGCTGATTAAAGCCAGGTTGGTCAGTTGCTCCCGTGACATAGAAGAACTCAGATGTGCTTTTATTAATTTCTGCTTTGAATATTACCTTTCACAAATTTCGACTGAAAATGCGATGGTAAGCAAGCCACAATGCCGGAAAGACACCCCTTTCAAACTGCAGAAAAAGATACCAGTGCGTCTTTAGTACCAGGGGGAACTGTGTTTCCTCCAGTTTGAAAGGGCATCAGAAAGCCAATTATTTCATCATATAATTCAATGACTGTCTCATCATTGTCATAATAATTTCCAAAACTCGAACATCCCTTTTTCAATCTCTCTTCATCTTCAATTAAGACTGAATTCAAATTAAGAAGAAATAAAAATCGGTCTTTGAGTTCTAAAATGCAGGCACTGTACTCTTCTATTTCAGTTTTTAATCAGTTAACGATCCCTACCATTACTTTATTCATTTCTTGTTGTGACGCCAGTCCACTATTTCTTGCTGATTCTCCAAGTTATTCTTCTTCTTCTTGTTTGTGCAATTACTATTCCCCATTTTTTACAATCAATATTGGAAAGTACTGAAATGTGGATAATTTTGTCATTTTTCAAATTCAAAATTTGAAGAAGACTTTTTAGATCACAAAACTTCATGGAGTACCATTTTGTGGGGCCCTGTAAACATTTTGAAATTTTCTATGCTGGTGATAAAATTGAATACTGCTATATACCGTACTTATGAACATTAATGGGTATGTCCCAATCCTCATAAATACGTTGGATACTATTGTAAGAAGGGTAATATGCTGCCTAAGTAATCCACCACTAGCAGTGGCTTACCTACTTCACGCCGCTGGCGAGTATTGTATTTTGTTGACGTTATAAAGATAAACCTTCTATTTCCAAACACAGTTTTGCTTATTCCTCATTCAGTAACCCTTTCTAGGTTACTGCAGATACCAAACATGTAATAAAGATATAAATGGTAAGTTTTGAATAACGTTCAGAAGCGATCTTGCATCAGATTTAGTTTTTCCCTTGAAAAATCTCCTTTCCAGAAAGTGTTCCAGACGTGCAATAACGTTGTCGCATGGATTACTTGCATAACATCATGTCGGCAACTCTCCATTTTGTACCACATTATCTTTTCACAGTCTGAGAGATAGATGATTTTAACATTTCCCAACGAGAAGTAGATGAAGAAAAAAAAGTAAATGTTTTTTTCCAAAAAATGTAACAATAGGTTGTACCTCACTTACACTGACACTGGCCATATTGAGGCTGTAGTTATCACAGTTCACAAACACAGCTTTTGAGTTAACTGTGAACAGCTTCATTTATTCCTGTCACAATTGATGCATTAGCAAATGTTTGGCCGCGACAGTCATTGAAGGGAATTTTGTAATTTTAAATTTTTTCTATAATTTTATCTACTAGGCTGAATGCATCTTTTTGATTTGAACAAAATGCAGAATAACGTATTTTATTTCTACTTTTTTCCTATTTTCATTCATATGAACATAACACAGAATTCGGTAAGCTGATCTTCATCTGGAGTTGAATCCAACATTATGCTAAAATATTTTGTCTCTTTAATTTCGGAAATTATTTTTCTTAGCATTTTCACCAAGAAGATCGATTATTTAGTTCGACAAGTATATAACACTTTTGCTTTCTATTTCCTTCTCTGCAATGATTCTCCTCCTGGGATTAGATAATATTTGGTTGAAAGTCTGAATGTTGCTAAAAAGT